CTTCTGGCGACTAGATTTATGATTAGAAAATTATAAAAGTAGGGTAGACATGTGGATATTATCCGGCTGAACAAAACGTGATCCGTCTCTTAAATGTGTGTCAACCACAGACCTTATTTCGAGCTATTTTCCAAAATCCTATGGAGAAAATGCATTGTTTTTTTGTCGAAGGAACCGTAAGGAGTTTACTTCCGGGTTTTAGGACGCGTCACTGTGGCACTCTATTGGTATACCGTTAAGCCGCTGGACAAACGGTGCTGCTATTGGTATATGAATTACGCTACTTCCTTAGTTTAAACAATTCTGGTTGGTTGGGAACCCTCATCCCATGTGACGTATACGGTTTGGTTTTTAAACGGGCAGAAGCAACATCTTGCTAGAAACAGCGTCTCAAGGCTTCTTAACATTTAACAACCTATTAATGATGCATACCCACTTAACGGGAAGACACTCAGCTAACAGACGATATTAACCATTTGACCTACACGGAACAGAAGTCCAACACCAAGAGTCTAAATCAACAGTTAGCAAAACGAGCTAACTGGGCTAACGGCTACTTTAGCACATAACTGGCAAAAGTGATCTTTTATCTGCACAAACATATCACATGAAAGCTGAGATTCCACAGATTCCATTGGTATAAGTCTCATCATTGTACAAACAAAACTCACTGAACTAGCAGCCAGGAAAGAGCAAGAAAACATCTTCACTTTACGTAGCCATGATGATAATTATGTCTTATCTTTGCTGTTTTGTGATCAAAAGTTGTGTTCAAGGGCATAAAAACGGTTAATCCAATGTCTCTGTGTAACTTGAAATGGTCATGTTTACATGTATTTATGAACCGCCCCCCTTCAAGAGACACACTGTCAAACACTCATACATGTTTGGTATGACATTGAAAAAGTTACATTAAACAATAAATACAAATAAATTATCTTGTAATCATGTCTATAATTTTGAGCACCAAATTATTGAAAAGTATCGATGAGAGTATCGAAAAATACCGGTATCGATAAGCATTATTGTTATTGGTATCGATAAAATCCTAACGATACCCATCCCTAGTTGGAGTTAATAGAAATTAAATATGACCAGAAAAATATATGAAAGTCTTCAATCTTATATAATATATTAATCTTAAAGCCCTTAAACATTTTCAAAAGGTATAGGTAGAGAAGTAAAGGAATAATTCGGATTTATTCCCCTAAATGTAATGGAATCATTCCTTTTCGTATCGCCCTAGCTTTTGAAATACATTTCCATTGATATGAAGGTTTCTTCACACAATTTCTGAAAGCACTCTTTGTCAAGATGGCTTTAGTTTAACAAGAAACTGGCTAAAACTTTAAGTTAAAAATAATATTCCTGTGTTAGGAAGATTACTATTACTTACTATTACTTATCAAATACTTGAACTTCTAATAGTTAATAACACTCTCCAAATAATTTGTCAGGTTGATTTCTATAGGGAATATTATTCCTCACGTCTACTTAAATTGATCCTGTGATGGATAACCAAAAAAGCAAGTTAAAGAGCTTTAGCTACAAAGGTACAATGCCAAATGTTTTTATTTTCTTACACAGACTTTTCAAACTTGAATACTTACAACCTTTGCCATGACAGTGATTTAACCACACACCAGAAGTTTGCAATTTTACCCCACGGACAGAAATAGTGGACTTTGTTTCGGAAAGTTTAACAACTGCAGTGGCCAGAGTGAACAACCTGTTTCTATGTTCAGGCAGGAAATTGAGAATATGGCACCATTTGGCACAACCGAGGGAGGGTGTCGTTTCTATCAACTGAGTCGCCTCTGTGTATAACCAGAGGCCCCAAAGGTTTTTCCCAGGAAAGCAAATGGGAACTGTTTCGAAAAACAAAGCAGCAGCATCTTGAGGCCATTGTTTGTTATTAAGGTTTAATGGTTAACAGGAAACATTAAGGAGGCTCTGCTAGGAAAACCCCAAGAGCCAAGCCCTTATTTACCATTACATCCGCTATTCTACAAAAGAGGAGATGAAAACATGATAGTAAACCTATATTTTAAATGCTATTTACTTAGCATATGGCCTCTTTTTTCAAGCTTCAAGTATATCAGGGTTTCCATGGCTCAATTCTGGAAGCCATCCACATCTGCAAGCCTCGATAATGAGGTGAAGCATGTCATGGCTCCTGGCATTGCCAACACCTATGCAGTTAATTTGGTCTATAATAATGCAAATTAGATTCAACTCGTCTACCTTCATGTCACGGCCTACAGGGCCATCTATTTAAAATATTCCACAAGCTTGTGGCTTAGTGGTTACAGCAAATTCCAAATAACCGCTATGTCCTGTGTTCGATTTCTGGCTTAGGGACCTCTGTTGCATGTCATACCCTTCTGTCTTTCTTCTCCCTCTGTCCTCTGTCAAATAAAGACCAACAGGCAACAAATAAATTCTTCTTCTTCTTCTTCTTCTACCAGCTCTCTTAACTCATGCCAGGTTTTAGCGACCATGTGAAACCTGGATTATGGGTCTCAAGGATTTATTTGGCAACATGTCAACGGAGATGGATTCGGCTGCCTAATAACCACTGGGGAGCCGGCTCTCACAGCCTGTGGTGGTGTTCATGGGGGCGGCTCACGAGACAGAAGGGGTCGCCAGCTGAGAAACAAAGACAGAGCTTCATGCCAGCAGATCTTCTTCCTTAGGTTTGTCAGACAAGGTGAAAAAGGATCAGAGGCAGGACGGAGGAACTGGCCTTGGCCTGTCAACACTTTAGATCCCTTATAAGAGCTAGTGTTAAAAATGCCTGGAAAGTCCTTAGTAGAGGGCTGGTGGGTTGAGGTTTTTTGGGGGCTTATCCTTGCCTTCCTGTGTGATATTGTAAATACTGACCTTGAAGAGACGAACCCATCCATCAATAGCCGCGTTCACACCGCAGTACTTTTCCCACTTTAGTTCCGATATAGTTCCGAAATGTCGCGTTCACACCAAAAAGAGCCGGAACTAACATTAGTTCATGAGAACCTTTTTACCCCCTTTTCCGTTCCTGCTAGAGAGCAGGGACTTTCATGCGGCTCTCTTGTGAGAAAAGAGCTATATTTCTGATTGGCTGGGCGGATTGCAAACCACGCCCCGTAAAACCCAAAAAAGTGTTGTGAAGCCACCATTTTATTATACTCGCATTAGCATTAGCATTAGCCCAGCGCAGAAACGCAGAGAGACTAAGTTATGGCAACACAAAATAAAACATGGGAGCGTTGGAGATGAGGAGGTGTCGGCGTTCTGGCGATTTACTCGGAAGGCTTCAGTAGAAGCTGCTGGGTGTCCCAGCAGCTTCTACTGAAGCCAGTCCCCAACTCCGGGGACTTCCGGCCGGGGATTTTGGGCGCCAGTATACGCCGTGAAGTTGTTTGCGGCCTGCCAGTAAACCCAAAGCAGAAGAAGAAGAAGTGACGTCAGCGGCTTAATTTGCCTAATCCACCCCCAGGTACTTATTCCGGTGTGAACGCGATCTGTACTTAGTTCATCAGAACTAAAGAGTTCTGATGAACTAAGTTCTCATGAACCTTTGTGGGAAAAGTACTGCGGTGTGAAAGCGCCTATTGAAACAAGGGGTTGAGCGTGTGTGCATGATGTGTGTGAGGGTGATCCTTTGTGTGGATGTGTGTGAGGGTTTTTAATTGATGCTTACCTCTCTCTGTTGAATTTGAGTGAATGGAGGACAGCCGGTCGCCTCTGACGGAGATTCCACAAGTGAAGCGTGTCATCTGCACAGGCTGTGACCAGCGCCCCCTGAAATAAAAAACAAAAAAGGGAAACATTTGTACCGAATCATTCTACACAGAGGACATCTCGCCCTTTCAAATTAACCCATGTGTTGTAGTCCTGGTGGATTGGACTGTGAGCACAAAGTGGAAAAACACAACAGATTCTGGTTTTAAGGCATCCAAGACACACAAAAGATCAAAATAATCTACTTGTTCAAAAACATTTAATTATAGATTATGTTTTATCGTTTGGCGTATAACAAAAAGGTAAGTATGTCCATCCCAGTTCCTCAAAGTCCAAGGTGTTATATCGGTGTTGTTGTAACAAATACATTTGAGTGTTTATGTGTGAAATAGTTGTTAATCTTTGCAGTTTTATATTGCTTTGTCGAGCTAGCCATCCATCTTAGAGAGAATCTAAAACAGTTTTGGCCAGACATTTAAATGATTAGTTCACCCACATTATGGAAAAGAAAAAGGCATTTAAACATAAAGGAATCCATGGAACCTTGCACTTAAAAAGCGAGTGTTTGAGTTGAACGACTGTAATAAACCAGCTATTATAACATTGTCATTTTAATCAGTGAGTATTTAAAGGTGAAGTATGTTGAAATATTGGTGCAAAAACACGTATACATCATAGACATGTTGATGAAAATTGGGATGGGACATTCTTTTTCAAATGATGTCAGCTGGTCTCCCAGTTCTGAGGATTGTAATTACTGTACATTGTAATTCCCAGTGTGGCTGTGCTACGACGGGAGCCCAGGGAGAATTAGCTTTAGATTACAAACGTAATCGCGGGATTAAAGACTGTACAGTGCAGGGGAGGATCAGAACATTCTTCCCCAATGATTTCCATATTGGGGAAGAATCCCCCCTCCCACTCACTGAATCCATCACTTTGTACAGCCTTACTATTTATTCTAAAATACTTTAGTTATTTAAAGTAAGAAGCAAAAGACTGCATTTAAAACAATACAATGCGTTGGGTATTCTGTGGACTATGGAAGCATATTCTTAAAACACTATTGTAACATGTCCTTTATTATTTCACCCTCATCCATGTTCTAAATTTGATTGAATGACCTTCACTTTTCAGAGCCACCTGGGACTTACATCTCTCTTAAAATCGTGACAGCTAATTCACAAGAGCCTATTAGCAAAGTGAGCGATAAAGCCTTCTCTATGAGATGAACGTAATTGATCCTCCTACATGTATTCAACAGAGTAGAACGATTTAATGAATAACGTCATTATTTGAGCCTTTTCCACCTACTGCCTCATATTCTTTGACGACCCTTTCTTCAAACATAAAAAAAGTTATGTGATTCTCTTCTCTAGCTGTTTAAAATGTCTCTGATCTGATGATGATTACCTGGCACGAAATTTGGAAATGAAAATGTCTGTTCCCTGCTTTGATTTTCATTTTCATATTAAACCTTACCAAGATTTCAATAATTGTCTTTAAGTTTCACTCTATTTTTCATCATAATTTCACCCTGATTACTTTTATTTTTTAGGAGTTTTCATTCATTTCCTGACTTTCAGCTCCATGTTGCCTTGACCCTAAAGCATAAGGTTGAACGATTCATATTAATCTTATTTTCACAGATTTCAAAAGATACACTGAAGATTGTGATGCTGTTACATGGAAGACTGAAAGGTGGAGCAGCTCTTGAAAAAAAATTACAACAGAAGGGTGAGAAAAGAGAACATGACAGGGAGAAAAGCTCCATTATAGTATCATTCCTCCTGATGCCTGGATGTCAACACAGGCGAAGTGAACAGGCACATTGACATTGCACAGCAGGAGGTAAATGACAGGCAGCCGGGCCAAGAGAAAATTGCACAACAAAATCATCAAGAAGATCGCTTAAGGAGAGATTATGTGTATGTGGGTTTAAATGATGGAGTATTTGTATACAAATTGAGTTCCCTTATTGTTTTGCGATACATACTCTTGTAGCAAAGAAGGTATTTTTAAAAGGGATCATTCTTACTTTAGTTACGTACTTTTGATTAAATTTGATCAATGGGAATGCCTGTCTATAGCACTTGTTAAACAATATGTCCTTTAGAGGATCTATTAATGCTCATTTGTATCAATACGTAGGCCTAATAGAAAGCTTAGTATTTATTTCCTTAAATAATCGTGTTAAAAGTATAGAGCAAAATAGCCAGACCTACTTCCTTGTTTTTTGTATTTAAGAGGGGGAAAAAAGAAGGGAAAAGTAGCATTTCAGATAATAACACTCTGGTCGTTCATCTGGTGCTGCAGGCTAATAGTTGTCAAACCTGAAGTCACTTTAGGTCGTGTCAAAGGTTAATCAGGTGTGTGTCCTGCTGCCTCAATGTGTTAACACCTGTTCCATCTGTCTACTCCTGCTTCTCTTCTTTGTCCTCAACACCTCTTTACAAATGGAGGAAATAGGATTCAACACTGAGTATTAGAGCAGAATGAAAATCTCAAAGGTTTTAATTGATATAAATGTCTGTAAAGTTACAATGAACTTTATGAACATGATAGTGATGGAGCTTGTGGCCTGGGGGGGTTTTGGCGTCCTACTTAGGTAAATCACCAGCGTTTATCATCATTCAAATGAATCACTCTGCTGCAAAGATGACAAATGTTTCCTGTTCTCGGTTTCAAGAAATGTAGGAGGAAAAGGATCTTTATTTATAATATTCAATAACAACATTTCCCAGAAACATGATTTCCCTGCCATTGTTCAAAACATGAATCAACATTAGAGTATTAGGAAATCTAAATGCACCTTCACTAAATTCCAGATACTGGCCTCATACCTCATTAGCAGCAGATGGCGAAGTGTTTCAAAAACATAATTTCTTCTCCCTTTCATCAATTTTAAAGCTGTAAAATCTCAAATGATTGTTGATGTTTAGTGTCAGCGATTTATGTACAGACTGATAAAACCAAAAACGACAGAAGAAAGTTTTTGTGACAATAATCAATCATCTCTTGTTGACTTTTACCTATTGAGTACTAGACTGTGTGTTTTGTTTAGAAACGAGCATCTGTACAGCGCTCCTGAGAATGCCTTCTGTAATCCAGCTCTCAGCACGGCACACAGATCCTTCTCACCTTTCCTTACCTAAGCAGTCTCCCACCTCCTCCCCCGCCACCATCCAACCTCATCTGCCGCCAACCCTCAGCAGCCCCCTCAGCCTCTAAGATGTATTATTCATCCACGAAAAATAATGTATTCCAAATAGGCAAACAAACCTGTTAATTAGCCTATTCATGCCTACACCGACACAGTGACAGAAAAGTAAAATTAATATTCTCCTCATCAATAGCAAGAGGCTGAAGAGGACGACGAGATTATGACTGCATAATAAACGATTGACAACTAGACGCGCTGAGAGCAAGAATATACATTAAACATGCACAAGCTCATCATTCACAGGTACCTGCAAGAAGTGGCCTCTTCGGTGGGTTCATACATCTAATGGGAATAAGTCATTACACCTCAGTGGATGTCAAGAGGCTGGCAACTCAACCATTAGCAGGGCCGCCGACAGCCCACACACTGAACCCAAGAGAGGGCATCAGCATACTGCACGGCTATTAGTCACTCTGTCACACCGTGAAAAGACCTACAGGAGGCACGGTGATAGGTGCTTAGTTAGGATAAGGGAGACTGGGGGTAAGCGGATATGCACATATGTAGCAGACAAACACAAGCAAACAGACATAAACACACACACACACACACACACACACACACACACACACACACACACACACACACACACACACACTCTACACACACTACTGACTGCAGACAGTGTGTAGGCAGTGGTACTTAGATCTTATTCAGCTTTCATTTTTTTGGTAAAAGCTAAATAATTACTAAAAACTAAATGTACTCAGTCTGTGGATTTTAGGGCTGTACCCGAATATCCGAATATTCGTTCGTTGGAGTACTATTCGGGTTTCAATTTCGTTATTCGGATATTCGTTTTGTTTGTTTTTCCCCCGTTTTATTTTCCAAATTGAATTTATTATCTCCAATATCAACGTAAGAGCTTGTGCCTCTTCGGGGGGTGCTAACACTTAACCATAAACGTTATCGTTTACTTTCTCCGTCTTTATATGTAGATATTACTTTTCTCCGTTAATCTCCGTCATGTTTCCAAAGCAACAACAACTTCCTGTCAACTGCGCTAACTCTCCTTCAAAATAAAAGCATCTCCATAAATAGGAAGCCAAGCCAAATTACACTTAAGACATATACAACTGCAACGAAAGTAACACAATGCGATATCCTTTTCAATTTCAAAGAACACAAATTGGGTTACATTAATAAATAACTATAAAACAACAATGCTGTAGAATAACAACATGAATGCCGTGAATAAACCGAAATACACGTGTTGAACGGGTTCGCGAGCCCGAAAAATGGTATGCAGGGCAGCCATAGTGGATTTTGCTGATAATACTGTATCACTGGATTATATTTGAATCTTGCAACTGACAATATTACTGACTTTTTTTACATCCAGGTAACTAAATCTATAATATACATCATAATTCTTAAAATGTTTCACGTTTTGTACTAATAATAAGAACATGCAAAGTAACTGCTAACTAAAACCATCACATACATGTTGAGGAATAAAAGGTACAATACTTGTATGAATTAGCATAAAATGGATAAAATAATTGCAAGTACATCAAAATTGTACTTTTTTTTAAGTGAGTGTTTTATTCACTACTTTTATTTTTTTCAACATATTACATCATTTTGTATTTCTTCCAAAAAAATAATAAAAAACATGTATAATCATAAAAAGTGGATGAAAGTTGGTTGTCATCACATATTATATTGCATCTCCACTCACACAAGCATCTACATCAGGGGTCTCAAACTCAAGGCCAGGGGACCAAATCCGGCCCGCGACTTCATTTTCTGTGGCCCCGCAAGAGCTTGCAAATAATATAATAAGTTTATTATATGGTTACATGCCACTTTACAGAAGCAGGTTGCCCATAAACTACATGTCCCGCAATGCATCTCGTTTTGTGACATGCGCACTGAAGAGACTTGCAATTATTTGCCCTGGACTTCTGCTCTCAGACGTAGTTAATTACTAAGTTATTATCCCATCCGATAATAATCCAATTCAGAGGCAATAATGTCATATAATACATTATTTTACATGTATATTATATATTTATATAGTTACAACCGGCCCTTTGAGTGCAACCTTTATGCGAATGTGGCCCGCGATGAAATTGAGTTTGACACCCCTGATCTACATACTTGCAAAATTGTACTTAAGTATAGTACCTGAATAAATATATTTAGCACCCACAAACATGTGGGTGCTTGCACACTTAGTCCCACACAAATACTCACACAGGCCTAAAAAGTCAATACCTGTCACACAAGCACAATCACAGCCCTCTTCAGGCCCATCCACCTCCATTTGCCTCAGACACATCACAAGTAGGCGAATGAGTGAATGAGAGGTGGGCTGAAAGAGCCAGTGGGCTTGAAAAGAAACAGAGTGGGCAAGGAAAAGGAGCCGAGAGAGGCAGCAAGAGCACGTAGATTACAGCGGAATAAAAGAGAAACAAGAACGAGAAAGACAAAGGAAACGCGGCTTTGTGTTCTTCACCCGTTTGACTCGCTTATGCTCTTTGACTTACAAGAGGGGCTTTTTCTCTAATACACCCACCGTATTTTGTTAGTAAACAGTCAGTAGGGAAAAAAAGCAGTGAGAGATCTTATTTTAGGCCGAGAGAAACCAATCAATATCCTTCAATAAATCATGTTCATATGGTCATGATCCTTAGGCTAAATAGTTTATTATAGTGTGTAGGCTCCTGCCAATCTCTATCAACAGAAGTATGTTTGAGTACAGGTAAGCCAGCGTCCACAGGCAACAACTAAAGGGTAGATAAACAGATAAGAAAGCATTTGAGTTTGTTTCAAACTAATATGTTCGACTCATTTGGAACACTTCTTATCAATCTTAAAGAAATTAATTCAAGACAATCAGTTGAATTGACAAAATAAACCAATTGTGAAAAAGGAAAAGATCAGTTTATGCACAGAAAGACTGGGCTTGCAACACACTCATCTTTCATTTGATTGTTACCATATATATCTTTGTGAGCTGCAGAGCCCTTATGTGGCTGTAGGTGAAATAATCTTCATTAATAAAGATAAGTGTTTTTTTAGACAGGTCAAATAAAATACCTGCTGTGATCCCACTGCAGCAGCAAAGTGTAGCTTTCCATTTACACATAAGGCACAGCAACGCAACTTTATGATTATTAAAAACATATTTTTCTCTCGAAATTTAACAACAACACTTGGGGGGAGAATTTACGTTGCTTCCGTGTCACTGCAAAGTGCATCCCAAAATAAATTAGTCTGTGCTGATAAACTTTATTTTTCGTCTTATTTGCATGTCCCTAAAGCTCCACAAATCAACTTTTTTTTTTTTTTAAATCAATAAAAAAAAGGGTCCTTCTATGGGTAACTAACTTGCAGCAGCTACATCTCAAGAAGAAAACTTCATGGTGCAAAGAGTTAGAAGACATTTGGACCCAGGAAGTGGACATGTGGATATGCTAAAGAGTTCAGTCGTACAGTACAGCTTTAAAAAAATCACAGCTTAACAAAATCATGCTCATGGAGTGTGGCTTACCTCATTGATGAGGAACTGCAGTTGAAGAACAGCTGATCCACTCTCATGCTGACAGTAGCAGTCCACTCCGGGTCGTCCCAGTCTGATGACATCACAGAGTCAAGGAAATGTACACAACAAAGTTGAAGGCAAAAACAGAACACATGTATGTGTTAGTGATTGATGTGCACGGAAAATGAGAGACAACATATTCAACACTTTAAGTACACTGCACCAGAGGCTGAAGAACTTCTCAGATCTTAAGTAAAAATGTTTTAACAAGTATAAGCATATAAATATACTTTGTTGCAGTAAAGTTGTAGATAACTTTAATGAGGTTTTATACTGCCACATATCTTAATCGTTGATAGTATGCTATAATTCATTAGTTGCTTACTAATATAAAACTGCAAAGTAAGTAGTCATCTAGTCAAATAAATGTATTGAGTAAAAGGTACACTAATTGCTTCTAAATTGTAGCAGAATTGAAGTATGAAGTAACATGAAATGGAAATATTCAGGGAAAGATGTTTGTGTTGAATGAGAATGAGCATGCACCAACTGTGGCTGCTCAGAAACTGCTTGTGCCGCTGGTCTTGTATCAGCAGCCAGGTGGTATCAATTAAAATCCAGTCATAATGGAAGTCTGGATTTTGAAAAGTTGCATTGAGATGCTTGAGGTTTGCTGACACCTCTACTGGGCCTCTCTTCACATCTCGGGAAATCAAGTTTGGAGTGAAACCTCTGTGCAAGCACTGATGAGGAGGAAAACAGGTCTGCGCCTGGCTCTGCACTTCACATCTACGAAGGCTTCCAGGAAATGATTCTTGTTTATTTTCCTCCAATTGTCAGAAAGAGAACACCTTTCAAATAGCCAATGTACTTTTTTCAATTTGTTAAATTTTAAAAAGGTGAAGCCCTTATGGCAGAGGTTTTGATTGAAAGACGTGGTGATTGAGAGATTACCAGACAATACTAAAGTATCCAAAGCTTAAAGGAGCCCTATTATGCTCATTTCAGGTTTCATATTTGTATGTTGTGCCTCTACTGTGACATTCATGTTCAAAAAGCTCTTTATTTTCCTCATACTTCTGCAGCACCTCTTTTCACCCTATGTCTGAAAGCAGAGCCCAGTCTGCTCTGATTGGTTAACTGGCCAGCTCTGTTGTGAATGGTTAACTGCTTCGAGATGTTCTGCTCCTTAGCCTATCAAATATAATGTGTTGAAGTGCTAACCAATAAAAACGTGAGTGGTACATAGTGATGTAACAATGTTAGGGTATAGTTTCAGGCTGGGGGGAGTGTGTGGGAGAGAAACTCCCTCTGGAACTTTGGGATTTCAGTCATGCATCAAAACCTATATAACACTATGTGAAAACCCTTATTTCCAACATGTTGCCAACAAATTAGAAATCTTAGAAAACACAATCAAAAAGCATGTGACTACAATTAAAAAAATACATAAAATATCCTACAACAAAACCAGGGCAGCTTTAATTGCAACATCATTGCAAATTGATCAAATCATCTTAAACCCTGTTCCAAAGCCCCTCTCATATTTAAAGACTTAATATGTAGCAAGTGGCTCAACTGTAAAATAAGGAACTTCTGGCTACAACATTCACCAGGCGAACGCACACTGTCCCTGGTATTATAGTTATGCTGAGTATGGACCATTGTTATCTAGACCCTCCAGAAAAACGCGATTCTGCGATCGCAGAATTTACCGCATAATCAGCCAAATGGCGCAGATTTTTAAAAAGCCGCATATTTATCAAAAGGCCGCATAATCCCCGCATTTTTCCACACAAAGTTGAGAAGAAAAAAAAGTTAACTCGTCTTGACGTGACGTCATCAGCTCGCGCATCACAGAATGTAAACAACACTGTATAGAGCTAATTTACCAACGAAAATTTCTACTAAAGACCGGGCAAAAAGTGGGGGGAAACTATTCTGCACCCCGTGCAACTGTGTGTTGCAGCATAAGAGAAAATCGACGGTGGCGACCCACTTTGATTCATTCAAACATTCGAAAATGCTTTCTGCTGCTGCGGACAAGAAAGCCAAGAAAGCCAAACGACTCACGTTCACCCAGGCATCAACCTCCAAAACCCTTTCGAGGGCTACAAGAAACGAAGTGAGTAGCCTACAAGATTGAAGCTGGTCAGATAACGAACGAGTAAATGAAAACAGAATGAGGCGAAGAAGTGTGTGTGTGTGTGGGGTGGGGGGGGGGGGTGTGTGTGTGAGATTAAAATAGCCCAATTGCTTTTACAATAAATAAACATTGAATGTGTTTAATTGAATAGTAAAGGGGTTTAACGTTAGTGGCAGGGTGTGTGTGAGAGAGAATAAATAAGACAGCCCAATATTTTAAAAAATTGTTATTCTTTTCCCCCGCATATTTAGCATATTTCGCAACTTTCCGCATATTTCCTAACTTCCCGCATAAAACCGCATAAAATCACATAAAACCCCGCATGTTTAATCGCATAATCAAGGATTTTAGCCCGCATAATCAAGGAATTTAGCCCGCATAATCAAGGATTTTTGCCCGCGTTTTTCTGGAGGGTCTAGTTATCTGACAATACAAATATTCAGGAGCATACTCATTGATGTTATTGTACATAATGTACTGGCAGCAGTCCTACCCTCCTTCGGAATGTATTACTTCCAACATGAGTTTGAGGAGATGTTGTTCATAAATACAGAATAATGTTTTGCATCATTTGCAGTTTCCTACAAGGTATAGCTGTCACACTGCCAAGCAGAACATGCATAATGGAAATGACAGCGTATCAATGATTACAAGGGAAGTTTCCTGAGAGAAAAGTCGAAATGTCTAGTGCCATGAAAAAGGGACTTGTGTTTGCATTTAGATATTATTTTAACAGCAATCCATTCACAGGCAAGTTCTTTTTCCAATATTATTCCAACACTAATACACCAATAAATATATTGTAATATACATGTTAAATATTATAGCACAATATTCTAAATGTAACTTAATTTCCTATATCTATATTTTATCTGATTTAATTTGATCTTTTATTGGACATTTTATTTCACCAATTTAATTTGTATAAATATCTTTTTTGCATTTTAATTGCACATATTTTAACTTTACATGTTTATATCAATAGTTTTGTTATAATCTTTCATTTATATTTTATGTATTTTTATTCTAGTCTAGAGAATACTATATTGACAGAATGTGGCAGTTTGGTTAATAACAGGTGTGGTTACCAGAGGAAGTGAAATCCCCAAGTGCATCCTTCAAAGCAGGTGGAAAGCAGCAGGCGGAGGATATGACACAACATGAAAGCAGAGCCAGTTGGATCTGGTACAGTAGCAGTTATTTAATCACTACATGTTCACAAGTCACTGTACTGGCAGCAGAGCTCGAGGTACAGCGCAGAAGCACATATGACCCATCCTAGATCAAAATGACCCTATTATGTCTCGCAAATTGCCAACATTGTTCTTCTTGTAAAACGGATGAGCCTAATAAAGTTAGAAAGTATTTATATTTCAATGAAAAAAAAACTAATATTTTCAATATATTCTAGACATTTTCCTCCTACAAAGAACGACCAAATAGGTTGATAGAGAGGCGAAGGCCCTCCCTTTCCGGGGGAGCTCCATGGGACCTTATTTCGGAAAAAGTATGTATTGAAGTCAATGGCGAGAGAAAGATTATCTTTCGATCCCGTTTGAATTGTGCTACGAATTACCATGATGTTTGTCAATTTAAAAGATAATTTTGCAAGTCAAAAAAATAAAAATGTGTCGTAAAACTGTGAAGTAACACTTTTTTTTGTGTGAAACCGCTCAATGAACTACATCTCCCGTCTTGCACCACATTTCACTTCTTTCTTTCAGAATGAGGCGAAACGTATTAAAAGAGGTGAAAATCACTCCAAGTCTGGGCATGTTGAGAGCTGTATATACACACAAGGGGAGTTAGTCGGTTCCGTCTTGAGCCAGCATGAGGGACCGGGATTCTGGGATTTGTAGTCTTTCTTGTTGCATTTTTTTCATAGTCTTATATTTCAAACTATAGATCCTACATATCCACTGGACGTGGATTCTAAAAGTATAATATACACTTCTCGCTAGAAATCTAATAAAAAGCATTTTAATGGCCAAACTATCCTACAATTTTGGATTATTTGTGAATATACGACCCTCTGGAGCGTTTGCAGTCAACGGGAGCACTAGAGGTCGAAAACGTTCAAACGTGATCATAGGTCGTAATAAGCGCTTGAACAATCGACCTATTTGGTTGTATGAGTTGAAGGACTTGTTGATTCAAGAAGCTGCACTGAAGTGACCACTTTCTTTTAATTTATCTTTATATTTATCTATATTTTATCTTATAACACCTACTGTACTGTAATTACGATTGTCTACTCCCTTAGATGTGTCTTTATGTGTGTAATATATTTTTTATTAATAAGTGCTTACCTTTTTACTAAATATGTTAGTCTATTCTTTTATTTTGCCTTTTAATTCCTCCGTCTACTTTGTTGCAACATTGTAAGTTGCCCTGCTGTGGGTCACTAAAGGATTTCTGATTATTTCAGTTACCTGTTATTTACCCGTGTTCCTTTCAGAGATGTATGTCCTCCTCACTTGGCTTCAACTGCTACCCACACCTTGCAAACAGCCCGGGGCAACAGGATTGTGTAACATTTATGAGCCACAATCAAATATTTCACTTCAGTTGACAAAGCAGAACAAAATTGAGAGGGAGAACAAAATGTGTGTTTATTTTAAATGAAACACGATATGAGTAATGATAGAGAGTAGGAGGCTACGGAACGGAGATTTAACCTGCTACGTGGCTGAGAAGAGGAGGAAGAAAAGACATGTAGCTGCTCTCCTGTTGTTTTGGATTTTTGGTGTGGACACAGATGTTTTGAAGCAGGATATTATCACATGTTAATAATATTTCAGATATGTCTATGTCAGTTGGACAGCACATCAAGTTATAATGTAACTCTTGCAATATTATTGTATTATAACAAATATTATTATTGTATTCTTATTATATTAAATATATTGTAAAACACTGATTTCTATATATTTATTGTTGTTATA